TCCATGACGGCACACAATTTTCCTTAACAATTTTCCAGAAAAGAAAAGACATCAATGATAGTACAATCACAGTTCGGAGCTTGTAATACAATTATTATTTCCCGCGATAACATCCCGGGCAAAAACTCCAGCAAAATGCCATGAAGAAGTCAACCCCCAAAAAAGAAAAAAGAAAGAAAGAAAAAGTCTAACCGTACGTCAACGGACGGGCAGATTGCAGTGGTGGTGGGATTGGTTTTTTCCTGGCGGGCCGGCGCCGTATGCCGGGACGCTGCGGAGCGGCGCCGCCGGCGGTCTCAGTAGCCGGTGCAGGACCTGCAGAAGTGACGGGCGCTCGTTCAGTTGACGTTTGTAATTATTGAAGTAGCAAACTTTCGTCTCTTGTGCTTCTTGGCCACCTTGGACACGTCAGCCCTCCTGCCTCACCGCCGCCTTTGCCTCCGCCGTTCGCCGAGTATTATGCTGTTGCGTTCCTCTTCAGATGCGTGGTTTGTGCGTGCGTTGCGTGGTGGTGGTTGGAATTCGGCGCTGTGGGTATTGATTGCTGATAATGATATTGCTTTTGCCGAATTTAGTTTGCGAGGGACTGTGGACTCGGCTGCCGCCATTATAAAGATTTTGATCGAAAGGAGAAACGGGGACAGAGGAGGAAGAGGAAAAACCCAAATGTCGACTATATAGTGATTCAGGTGGTTGAGAGGTTTTAATAGGACTTCCACTGTCTTTTTAAGTTTTTATGTACTATAAAATTTGAGAGACTTAAATAATCTTAAAAGAGTTTTTTGACGAGACATTCGAAATTACATATATATACACGGATGGGTAATACAGATTACGTCACGCCTCAAGGCCTCCCGCTAGCCCATTGACGCGTTATAAGACGTTAGCTGGGCTGAGTATAGCGCATCGTTTGGCTCAAATCGTTACCGAAATCAACTAGCTGACGCTACACTTAAACTCGACGACTCTCCTTAGGAACTCTCTCAACTCTCGGTCACCACTCGGCGGTGGAACTATAATTAGGGCGTCACAAATCATGTCATAATTATATTTTGCTCGGTAGATTGTTCACTGGATGGAAAATACTTCGACTACTAATAATGATATTGCTGGCCCAAATCACACAATTTCCTACCTTTTTGCAACAAGCAGCGTCACCACCTTCCCACCTTTTTGCGACAAAGCAGCGTCACATAAAGTACATGCTAGTTTCTTTCCAACTCCTCATGTCACGAAAATTAGATTAAGGGAGGCAATCCTCATTTAACCAACCTTACGACAAAGTGCTATAGATGAGTATCAACGCAAGCAATCCTGATTTATTAAGGAACGTTGGATAAATCAAAGATTATTCAAGATCTGATCCTTCATAAATCACCACTCTTACCCTAAAAAAAAATATTCTGAAGGAGCATCACCTTTTATCTTTTACTTGGAAAAAAGTTCGCCTTTTGCCGGGCCTTGACATTATAAGCAGCTGAATCTTTAGGATAAAGTTGCAAGTTTGGTTGGAAAGGGAACACTGCCACGTTGCTTGCTTCCCTTGTTAATCATTAGAAGACCCTCAGGGCCTCGACCACAATATTTAATGAGATTATTAAATTGTTAATCTAGGACAATACTGAAACTAACTAAAAAATAATTAGGATGCTTAAAGGTTCTACTGGTGGAGGGGGGAATTGTAGTCTATAAGCTCAGAATGGTTTATTGGCATTGTCTTTTTGCCCCCCTAAAGAAAGTGATTTGTTCCGTGCTAAGCATGTTTCTAGTGTCTAGCTCAAAGAGGTTGGGCTTGAACTCTTAAATCTAGCCCAATGTCGCTTATATTTATACTTCAACAAGCCAATTTCCCTTGTCCTGAAATTAGTTTGAAATTTTAATTCCCATTCCACATATAATGGTAGGGGTGGGCAAAAACCGAAACAAACCGGTTCAACCGAAAAAACCGCCCAAAAAAACGGATCGGTTAACCGAACCGAATTAAATGGATGAGAAGAAATCTCTAAACCGCTCGAACCGAATTAAACCGGTTTGGATCCGGTTTGAACCCCTGAACCGCCCAAAAAAAACCGAACCGAATTCTTAAACAAAAAGTAGCTGCGAGCCTTGGGTGTGAAGAAAATTTATGGCTGAATGTTTAGCATTTAAGAATTGTGGGGTGGAGTTTATACTAACATATATTTGAGTACGCTGATATAGTTAAGTGAGATTTCCGTAAATCAATACAAGATGTTGAGGTTGAAGGATAAATTTAGTGTTTTGGTCAAATTTCAGTGATAACATGAATACAGCTTGCTGGTGCTGGATAGCAAATTAACCTATAGTATAGGCTGTCAAGGATATAAGATAATTCTTGATGAGAAAAAGGCAGCTAAAAATTAACGAAAATCATCAAAAGGTGTGTGTGACTGCCAAACATTGTTCTTTCTCTAAAAAAGGCTACATAATTACATGGTCCTCCTAGTGTATTAAGCTAGTTATATTCAGATCATACAATTTAATTAAGTGGCTTAGTACAGTTTTGATTGTTTCTTTTCAGTTTTGATTGCTTCTTTTCAGTTTTGGATATAACTAAAACTTACCCAGATTTTTGTGAAATGGAGTTAATTCGGTTCAAAACCGAAACCGAACCGAACCGAACCGAATTTCGGTTGGGCCGAATATTCGGATGAAGGGGAAAAAATCTGGATCTGGATGAGAGTTTTGAGAATCCGAAAAATTCGGATTGGATGCGGATTAGGCTTAAAACCGAACCGAACCGAATACGCCCAGCCCTATATAATGGCACTGTTTGGCAACAAGAGATTGTGTCTTATCTAAGAGATTGTGTCTTATTGACTTGGTCAATAAGCTAGTAGAGCTGTTTGGTGACCAAAAATAAGAGGAGATTATTTTGGAGATTGTGTCTTTTGCAAGTAGCTTTTGGAAAGCTACCTCAAGTAGCGTTTGTCTTTTGGAATGAGCTGCTAATTTTTTTCTTCCGTTTTTGCCCCTAATAATTTTAATTTTATGTCAATAATATTGCATGTTCTTTTTAGTTATTTAATAAATTTAAGCTAGTTGTACAGCTACTTTTGCCAAACAGCTCTAGTCAATCAACTAGCTACACAGCTATTAGCATTCAGCTACAATTTCACAGCTTTCAGCTAGCTTAACAACTTTCAACTATAATCTCGCAGCTTTCAGCTAGTTTTGCCAAACAGAGCCAATGTCATAAGCAAAAAACCTCGGGGACACTTTCAACTATAATCTCGCAGCTTTCAGCTAGTTTTGCCAAACAGAGCCAATGTCATAAGCAAAAAACCTCGCAGGTCTGCATGCTTTAATACAGAATCATTTATAGGTTCAAAGAACAACTTAGGGGGTGTTTGTTTCAAATCCTATAATTTTAGGATATGGATTTCACCATAGAATTTGAAATCCATAAAATTTTTTACATGTTTTGGGATCTCTAAAATTTTGTTTGTTTCATCAATATTTTAGGATTTGGAATACCAAAATTTGTAATATTTTGTTTGTTTCATCAATATTTTGGGATTTGACATACTATAAATTGTATATTATAATATTATATAATATTTTAATAACATATATTATTATAATATTATATAATATTTTGGGATTTGGAATACTACAGCATGAACAGTGATTATTGGGTCCTTCTATATATATTATATATTATATATATAATATTATATATTATATATATATTATATTATATAATTATAATATATTATATTCATATATTATATATATATTATATAATAAATAATTATAATATATAATATATATAATATTGATAATATTATATATAATATATAATATTATATATATATAATATTATATATATATTATATAATATATATTAAATAATATATATAAAATATATGTAATATATATACATAATATATATATATATATATATTATATATATATATATATTTATTATATTATATATATATAATATATAATATTATATAATATATATATATATTTATATTATATATATATATATGCTATAATATATATATATATATAATTTATTATAATATAATATATATAATATATTATATTATATTATATATATATAATAATAAATAATATATAATATTATAAATAAAAATATTATATATATTATTATATAATATATATAAATAATATATATAAAATTATTTGTAATGTATATAACTATAATATATATATATTATATATTATATATATATATATATATATATAATATTATATATAAATTATATATATTATATATATATTATATATATTATATAATATATATATATATATTATTTATTATATAATATAATATATTATATATATATATATAATGCTACAGTAATTTACTGCAGCATTTACTAAAGCATGAACAGTGATTCTTGGGTCCTATTATTATAATATTATATTTAATATATTAATCTTATATTAATCTTATATTATAAGCATTAATACATCAATATCCAACCTACATCCTCTCTCAATTGTAGGATTTCACAAATTCTAAAATATAATAGTTTTTTATTATTTGGGGATTCAATATCCCAAAATTGGTTTTGAAACAAACATGGTTTATGGAATTCTAAAACCCAAAAAACTTGTAATCCACCTTATATCCCAAAAAGAAGTTGAAATAAAAGAGATGATTTCACAAATCCTAAAAATATATTATTTTTTTATAATTTAGGGATTCAATATCCCAAAAAAAAAGTGAAACAAACAAAGTTTAAGGAATACCAAAACTCAAAAAAAGCACTTTTTACATCCCAAAACTTAAAATCCACCCTATATCCCAAAAAAAAATTGAAACAAACACCCCTTAGTCAATGGAGCCCGCAAGAATGATCTAGCTAAAGCAACCTGGGCACCGATGCGAAAGTTAAATTATTAACCCCGTACTCAAACTCATCTTCACTAGAAGAACAAAGGCAAAGCCTGCCAAATTATTTCGTCCAAAAGAGAATCTTAAAATCGTATAGCAAACCGTCAACTAGAAATCATACTCTTCCTTGCAAGAGCAAACTGGTATGCAGCTATTATTTCCTTCTCAATGTTCTCATCACTTGTTCTAAAGACAAAGGCTACTAGTCTGGGCCACAAGAGCCAGTCGCTCAATTTGCATAAGTTCATATAAATACAAAGCCAAAGTTTCTAGTTCAAATTACTAAAACTCGTGTGCGTAGATACAATCATATATAACCCATTAATGATACCTCCATATACGAACCTCAGCGACTTCAACCAGTGTTCTGCAGGCCCGCGGCTATTCCCTTCATTGTCAGGATCAATGTGTCTTCTAAGCCTGGAGCATAGTCACTCGTTGGGTTCAGCTTCACTAGCTCTGCGGCTGGTTTACTAGACTCCATGACTTCCTTTGAAAGATGAGGCCTCAGTTTTACATGGTAATCAGGGTCTCTGATTCGTTTCAGGGTGTAAGCTTGGCAAACATTGAGAGTTGTTATGTAGGAATCACGAAGACGCAGCCTCTGTTTTAAGTATGGATCCCCTTCGAGAAGATCCTTGTGACCAGCAACCTATAAAAGGGTTTTCAGAACTACTAGTTAATATACACAAAGCTACAAGGTTTGGTAATAAAGCATCATTTATTAGTGAAGGATGAGATGTTTTCAGAATCGTAATGTAGATGGTAAATTTCACAAAACCATCTGAACTTTGGGGAAGTCTGCACAAAACCCCTTTTGAACTTTATAAAACCAAATAACTTTGTTAACGGGTAGAGCAGAAAGTCCATCTACCCTATCGAAATACAAAAAAGGTCAAAGATTTTAGCAGGCATAAAATTGTCCAAAAGTTGTCATGTGATCCACACGTAACAACTAAAAGTAACTGAGATCAGTCACGGTAATTAAGTGAGACAAGTTCTGGGGGTGCTCCATGATTTACGGAGCTGATTTTTTTCTTTCCAAATTTCTCAATCACGATAATTCTCACAACAGGATTTGACAGACCAGTTATATCTAGAAATTCTAACACCCTAAAAAGCCAAGTTCTTTACGATTTCAAAACAAAAGGGAGTGAGAAAATTACTGAAGAAGAAAATTCTTTACGATTTCAAAACAAACGAGAGTGGAAAAATTACCTGAAGAAGAAGATTCTTCGTCTCTCCATAATTGGCTCTCAGTCGCTCCCCAAGAGACCACAAATCCTTAGAAACAAGAAGCTTCTCATATAGAGAAGCAATGCGAGGATCTCCCTTTGCAAAAACCATCTCAATTAAGTCAATGGTGACTCTGAAGAATGGCCACTCATTATACATCTCTTGAAGTGTACGAAGATTCTTGGCATCCTTTTGCATTGCATGTTTGAATGCTGCACCAAAGCCAAGCCACACAGGAAGGTGAAACCGAGTCTGAGTCCACGCAAATATCCATGGGATTGCTCGTAATGACTCTATTCCTCCACTGGGCTTCCTTTTTGATGGCCTGCTTCCAATGTTCATACGACCATATTCCGTCTCAGGTGTTGCCTGCAATATAGAGGGTTCACATCATGATTTGCAAAAATATGAATAGGTAAAAGGACAAGTTATATGAAGTAAATCTCTCAACATACTTAATTCCAGCAACAAATATTTCATTATTACTATGCAGGTCATGAAACATTTTTTTAACAACAGTCACAAATGCACACATATCAAGGACGAGAGTTGGCTCCTCCAAGAATGGCGAAGAAGCAACTTTTTCCTGTTCAAAGCTAGTAAAGAACCTTTAAATTGGATATAACTCCAATAATCCAGTGAAGAACCACCAGATTGTAAATGAGTAAATTCATATTGTTCGACAAAAATTTAGATTAGTTCCACCTGAAAAAACCCCAGCTATTTCTTACTATGGATTAAGCAGTCAAATGAAAGTCATATAGAAGTAAGTAATTTATATCTATGATGAAGAATGTGCCAGCCGAACAGAACTTGTTGTGGATGATATTAAGGTGGTCATATAATGATGGTCAATGGTTTGGGTTATCATATATTCTCAAGGCTGTGCTTCTATTCAACATGCTACTTGCAGTCATCCATTTGATGTCACCTGATATATAGACAATAAAACTTGATATCAATTGATTTAATCCTAAATCAATATGGAAAAAAGATATTTGAAAATGACTAATTGTTTCGTTTGAATAGGAGAAATTTGCTTGCTATCCCTTAGGAAGAAGCCAAGGAGAGAGGTGGCAGTGATTTAAGCCTTTAAGGAGAGAGGTGATAGTGATTCAACATTATGACAGTAGTCACCTAAGCTAATTAGGTGCTCCCCAAATCATATCATACCTTTTACAGCTTTAATGATAAACTTGAAAGCCAAGTAACTCACCAGGCGAAAGTACTCAACAAAACGTGGTTCCTGAAAGACGATGGACCGGTATTCCTTTGTGGCCACAACAGCCATCTCATCCAACAAGGCACGCCACTCTGGCTTGGGAGAAATTGGCGGGCGCATCCCATGCTCAAGAGTAGCAGCAGTAAATCTTTGGAGTGTTCTGAAGCACAAATGCTCTTCACCAAAAGACTGTTCAATGACTTCACCTTGAACAGTAACTCGAAGTGAGCCATTGATGGTATCCGGTGGTTGAGATAATATAGCGAGATGAGTAGGACCTCCCCCTCTCCCAACGGTACCTCCTCTTCCATGAAACATTGTCAATTTTACTCCATATTTCTTGGCAACCTTTATTAGCTCTTCTTGAGCTTTGTATAACTGCCAAGCTGCAGAGAGACGGCCAGCATCTTTCCCAGAATCTGAATATCCGATCATAACTTCTTGTTTTCCATTTATCCTGTTCTTGTACCAGTCTATTGAGAAGAGTCTAGCTAATGCAGCAGGGGCCGCCTCAAGATCCGCAAGTTTCTCAAACAGAGGCACAACTCTCAACGGATTCTTCACATGGCATTCTCGCTGCAGCAGTTCAACAGCGAGAACATCAGATGCAGAAGTTGCCATTGAGATGATATATGCACCAAAGGAATCAGAAGGCAGATCCGCAATGACATGGAATGTTTCTAAAACATCGGAAATTTCTTCAGTTTTTGGAAGATCAGGACCAAATAATGGACGTTTTCCACTAAGTTCAGATAATAGCCATTCTTGACGCTTCTCCTCTGACCACTCACGGTAGGATCCTATCTCTAGATGCTTAGTGATGGCATCAATAACGTCGGTGTGCCTGTCAGATTCTTGCCTGATATCAAGTCTCACAATAGACAGGCCAAAAATTGAGACTTGACGTAAAAAGTCAAGAAGACTTCCGTCAGCTATGGGTCTATCGCCACAAGCACAGAGTGATCGGTAACAGAGTTCAAGGGGTTCCAGGAACTGCAATTGCAAACAAAGGCAAGGGTTAACTTATTTGTAAATATAGAGAAATTACTCCAACCATCACACGCACGTGCGCGCACACACACACAAAACATGCATGCAGACAATGCAAGTGTGAGCGCACACACATGGATGGATTCGGAAACTTTGGTCAGTGGGAGCAAGACCACAAATCTACAAGTACCAATCGTATGTGATATCTTTTTAGCTAAATATTATAACACCAATAACAAATATTGGTGTTGATTTTCAAAATTCTGGGGGACGAGGGGGTCATTGAGGCAAATAGTGTGAGGGAAAACTGATATAGGGGTATATTTCTTTAGGGGGTCAGTAGGCAATTGACCCTAGTGCGCCAATTGTAGATCCGCCCCTAAGTGCATGCTCACAAGTATAGTTTGTGTCACAGAGCAAGATTTATTGTTTTCACATATGCATATCACTGCCAGATTTCCCCTTTTTGTGTGGTAATACTCATGATCAAGGTTTCAGGGAAGTCACTGCATAGTGAGACGTAGATAAGCTATCACATTAGCTTGATTTGGAAATATAAAACCATTCATGTAGAACATAGATGTTTTGATTGTAAAAGGGCTCCATAAAGCTCAAAAGTTAAAAACATAGAATTGGAAGCATTCTTCCATTGATCCTGCATCTTGTGCAGCTAAGCAACAGACAAGAAACATGAGGTGTCTGTAACTTTGAATTAGAAGAAATACACCAAGAGATGGCTATTTGGCAAACTTGGCCAACATCTGAACAGTGGATGCAGCAGAAAAATATTGAACCTTCTAGCAAGTTCCCATTAAAACTGTGCATTAAATGGAAAAAGTAAAGGTTCCATCAACATTTCTTTTTCTTGAGGGTAAAACTGTGAAATTAAATGTTTCTCCACAAAGCATATTCTACTCAAACATCTCTGTTGGCATGTGACTAAGTAATACTCTCTACTAGAGACGGTCATGTAAAGATTAAATCCATCAACAAGCATTGCTAAAGTTGAGAAAAAGAACCTGCTCAACACTGGTGAAAGTTGCTTCCTCAACGATGTCAGAGTACCCATTTGACAATAAATGCCTTGCCCGCTCACGAGTATAATATAGCTTATCTCTCACATCCGCAAGTATAACGCGGTAAGGTTCATTTGGAGGAATTTGTTTCCAGAACTCTACATTCAAAAAGATTAATGTAACAATTACACAGAGTCTAGTAAGATAGAAGAAATTAAACTTCAAAAGAAAACTTTACAGCATGAATGTCAAATTTTAATAACGAGAAAGTGAATCACAGGCGAAATCAAGTCCTCCTAGATCTATAGGGTTCTGAGTGATTTTCAACATGCAAGTACTATCGTTTATACATGCAGATGTAGGTCTTAAGTAACATTTGGAAATTAATCAGAAGTTCTTGACAAGGCCTACACTTCTCGTGACTGCTTCATTTCTTGAAAAACCACATATTTGCTTTTGCATGTCATTTGCTCTTATGAGTAAGCACATGACAGTGTTGCTCACCAGTCACCACTGTCACAGTTTCATCAATCTAATCAAGGACAAACCAACCAAAAATGGCATGTATGGTGGATGTAACCTCCCCCAAACGAAGATTTCACGGACACTGGACTTTCCTACCTTAGCCAGGAGTGCGGCAGAAAAAGATTGCTAACTTGGAGGCTGATGAGGAACCAGCCACAGACAATGCTGCTCCTCTGGGCACTCATCCTTTGTTGACATGTTTGATTTCGATGTCTATGTAGGGTCTAGAGTCCCATAGCTGATTGTTGTGGTTCGAATGGACCCATGCAGACAATATGGGCGTATTTTGTCAAAATGATTAAAAAGCTGTTGTTCAAGCCTTTACTTTTCTCTATTTATGTTTTTCATTATACGTTTGGGCTCTACCTTCTTGACCACCCTATTATGTCCATGATAATAGTTCTTGTTTTGTTCAGTTATTTTCTGTAGTTACTCCTTTTAGTACTAAATGCGGCTGCGCACAGATGTAAGATTACCCAATTAAATTCTACGGCTGTGTTATGATCCCATGACATCACTTGCGTTAAAAAAAAGTGACAACCCACAGATGGGCAGAATGATCAATGAAGAGTTAAAGATCCAGCCTACACATCAGTGGAAGTATTTGCATAATAATGCTTAGTGCACCATTACTTGACCTATAACAGAAAGAAATAGGGTAATAAGTAATACCAATATAATGTTTTGCATCCTTTTTTGAAGTTCGATGTAACATATCTGCTTGGACACGAAGTTCATCACTGCAGCGCCACATCGACAGCTGCAAGGAAGAAGATTTCAATAACCAGTAATTTATATCATAGTACTAAAGAGTGCCGTCTAGAATGTAAGGTATTATTGTTTATTGTTAATCAAACCTTAAATAAATAAGACAACTCAAACTTTTTGATACCTCAAACATAAGATCCTCGATCTGGGAAAAGTATAGATTTGCAGCCATCATTCTCGCTAACAAGCAGACATCCCTTGTAACCTCTGGAGTCACTCTAGGATTTCCTGTATGACATAGTACAAGGTACACATGAATTAGATTGACAAATCATGAACTTGAAGTACTGTGAATCCCTCTTCTTCCTTGACCTCTATATACAATGATCAATCCAGATAGTATACTACAGAAAGGTATGCCAGCAGGCACATAATAGCATATAATATCTGAAACTAGGTTATAGCTGTTTTTTCTTTTTTTCTTTTTGTGCCCTCCAAGCTCCCCACTTTGAAACTGCTATAATGCAGGTCAAAGCAGTAATTATTACTCTTAACGCATAAGAATGTATGATCTCCAGGTTATTGGCAACTCTGTCATCAAGACTACTTATTCATGGGAATATCTTACCATCACGATCACCCCCCATCCAAGAAGAAAACTGAATAAGAGGAGCATTGTACGGAACACGCTCTTTGATCCCAATGTTCTTTAGAGCCGTGTCAACACGACGTAAGAACTTGGGAACACCTTTCCATATAGTTTCATGGAAATAACTCATTCCAGCCCTCATTTCATCTTGAGGAGTGGGAGGAGTTCTTCGGATCTCATCAGTTCTGAAAGCAGCTTGAATCTGAAAAATGATTTGATGAAACACCAAAAAAGAAACCACAAATTTCAGAAAGAAACAGCAAAATATTCCTACCAAGGAAATGATAAAAAATGTTACTTGGCGTTACCATTTTGCATGATTGGATTTTGTGTAGATGACAAGATAGTTAGAATACTCATAGCGCAAACAATTTTAAATGGATAATCTACTATGCCATGTACCATATTCTAAGGACAGGTTTAATGTTAAATGTGCTGACATATAAGGAGATGTTTGGATGGTTAGATATCATCCAAACTACTATAAAAGCCTCAAGTTAATTTCCATTTCCTTGGTACTGTCCAAGACAGTCGTCAACCAATTCAGTTGTGACAAATTCAATAATTCATTGATTTCAATAAATATTTATGCATATTCTTTTTATTCATTAATGCACAATATTCATAATAAATAATTGGTGTACTTCAAAATCATTCTGATGTTTTTACTATAATATTTTATTTTGTTTGACAAATAAAGCAAAACCTAGCATACATATATATACAAATGAGCTTGTTTGTTTGCTTAGGTTAGACCACCATCCTGATTCTGATGTAGAAAGCTGAAACTTCAATCAAGCAAATAAAAGGGTCATCAAAATGGCATCTAGGCATTTGTGAGTAGCCTGCAAAGGGTAATCACCTTTTTGTGAAAAGAAATGGCCTTACAATGGTTCATAATGAGATAAAATTAATTATTTTGAGAAGCTAAAAAACAATTTTATAAACTGAGATATCTGCCGAATTTTACTAGCTCAGCTCATATCTCATGAAATTAGTCAAAGTAAATTAACTACTGTTCATATTAGCTGGAAAGAAACCAGAGATGAATTACGCAAAGCATTATGACAAAATTAGTATATGTTCAATGTAGCCTTTAGACCAGCTTATTAGGAACATTCATGACAGAAGATGCAGCATACAACAATAATATAATTGTCAGATTATATGTATGCGATGCATTATAGATCGTAATATCAAATACCTCTCTCTGGAGTGCTTCATCAAGCTCCTGCTTGTCGTCAGGTGTAATATCTTTTGCATACAACTGTGCCAAGCAATTTCTTATCCTGGTGAACAAAAAGAAGTTTCAGATATTAGGATTATGAACTATGAATATGTTCCAAAATTAAGAAATCAATATGACAAAATAGCTGGTGTCTCTCGCAATCCTAAGAAGCATCAACAACAGTGAAAGTTGAAAAAATAACATGTAAATATTGCTATGAGTTTTTTTTTTAATTTAAATTCAATTGATTCTTCATACTTGTAAACTGAATGGCTATTCCAGAAGTACCTTGGGACAATCAATACAAGCTAGGGGGCAGGGGAAAAGTCAAAGAGAAAAGGGTAAATTGACATCAACAAGCAATAACCGATGGTGACTGGTGAGATAAATTATGAGTAACATACGTTATCCTATTTGATTCATCGTACTAGTTAATTTGTTGCAAAAGGTTATTCATTTAATTTTAATGAATATAGTCTCTGCTTAAAACTCATAACAAATAACAGGTAGCAACTACCTAACTCTTGGATTGCTCAACAGACATTTTGATAGTATATTCATAAAAAATATGAAGTAACAAGACTGTTAAAATATTCCCAAGAATAGTTCTTAACCTTCCGTGCTTCTGAAGCAGCGATCTCCTAACTGACTGAGTTGGATGTGCTGTAAGAACTAGATCAACTGTTTGATTCTTCAGCGCATCAAAAACCTCTTCTGGAGACTTTTTCAGCTGCACAACAAGCCTTTTGAGTGTCTCTTCAATGTCCGATTCAGTAGTGGCAGAAGCCTCATCTGCAAAATCTCCCTTCTTCTTGAGCTTAATCCTCCTCCTGTAGGCAATTTGGACCTCCTCAGCCAAGTTGGCCAAGTTTAGCATGTGCGAGAATGAACTGGCGACCACGATGGAATCACCAGGATCCAAACTTGTCAGCACATTCCCCAGTTCGTCAAGCTTCTTCAGATCATGCTTTCCTTCATACTCAGCTGATAACTCATAGCACTCTTGAACCTAAAAACAAAAAAAAAGTTTCAGATAAATAAAAACTAAACTAAAGTTTTCATCTTTTGCTTTCAATTTCTCTATTCTTTTTTTTAATCTGCAACAGCTCCTTTTTAATGAGCTCCTCATCTTATACTACATTTTTTTTCCTTTTTTCTTTATTGTTTCTTTTCTTATTGATAAATGTAATGAAAGAACAAAACCAGTTTAAGTATGGAAAAAAGGAATCAAATGACAATATGAACTTCATATTTCATCACATACAGTGAGCACACTTTCAGCCCTCAAAACTAGTAGATCAAAATGTAATCTTTCTACAACTTTTACGATTCTTCCTCGATAAAAGCATCAAATTATGCATCAACAATAAGAAGTTCAAATAAAAACCCGGTAGCAGCCTAACATGTCAACAAAATTTCAGATGAAAAAAATGAAATTTACAGGAAACAGAGAATGATGAAAAAAAATTCTGTTACCGTCTCTCTAATTTCCTCGCCGTGCAAATCCTGTAAAATATCAAGAAACCGATCCAAGAGCAGAGCATCGTACTCCACCAATTTATCGTCCTCCGATACTTTCCCTGGCGCCAAAAGCCTCAACTGCGCATCGATCGAAGCCAATTTCTCCAATCGTGTCGTCATCTCGAATTCCCTCGCTCTCGCTTTCTCGATCGCTGCCTACTTAGAGAAACCCTAACCCTAGAAATTTATTTTGAAGATGGAGAGTGAGAAGAAGTCCGTGAGAGAGAGAGAGAGAGATGAGAGAGGGAGAGGGAAGTGGGGGATGAGCCACAGCTGGTAGTTATGATGGGTATTTATAGAAAAAACAGTAATAAATCTGTTTACTTAAATGGCTGCATATAATAATAATTAAATGATATAATAATGTTGGGTGCAGTGAGATTAATAAGAGGCAATAATTCTTGATTAGATTCCTAACATGCCACGTACATCTTAAGTAGGATGTGATGGCTGCCAAATACAATATTTTGGAGTTAGTGAGTATATTAATTTAATATGAGTGTCCGCACACCAGATTGGTTATTGCAATCCTAAAATCTTTTTTACTGTAGAGAGTATAACATAATTTCTTTTTAGTTTCGGGTTTTGAGACTGAATACAAACCGCATCAGAGTATTCTACGTAAGAATACGATGTTTGAACCACACAAGAAAACAGCTAATGTTTATATAAATTTTTTTATTACCCTCTTTACATAGATTTTGAACCTTTTAGCACACAAACAGAATATTCAGGTTTATGATTTGCACAACGTGACTCATTTGTAACTGACGTACGATACTTATTCATGTTGGATATTTCTTGTTTCTTTCTTTTTAATGCTATCATCCGTTCAATGATTTCATTAATAAATAGGGAAAATTTGCAAAATAGATCATTTTTATGAAATATATAGCGAAATAGACCACTTTGAAAAATAATTAGCGAAATAGACCTCTTTTGAAAAAAATAGGTCGATTTTGAAAAATAAGGCTCAGAAAACATACGGGACTACTAGCCCCGCATGTTTAGAACCAACTAATCACGGATTAGTGACTCAGAAAACATACGGGACTAGTAGTCCCGTATGTTTTCTGAGTAGAAAATTTCACTGATCTGTGATTAAAACATACGAGACTACTAGTCTCGTATGTTTTCTGAGCTGTTTTGCAAAATAGACCTATTTTTGGCCTGTTGGCCAAAAAGATGTCTATTTTGCTAATTATTTAGCAAAACAGTCTATTTTGCAACTTTCCCCTAATAAATAATAGTGAAATATATATATATATATATATATATATTACTCACCCTATTATATATATATATTATAAACTAAAAAAACTGTAAAACCTAACTTAATAGTCTAACCAAGAAATATTGATCAGTCCACCAACGAAATAAACGAACGAATCCACCAACGAAATAAACGAACGAATAAGGACGAGAGGAAAAAAGAAAAACATATGACGTGTTCGTAGACAAAATGTGGGATGATAGTAACGAAAAGATTTGATTTGGATCGTTCATGGATTGGATTCGATTTGAGCCTCACAAATGTTGGAGCCCCAGAGGGACGTACTTCCTTGTAGGGTGTAGTAAGTCATAAAGTCTCAATGGGGTTCATCCCATATTAACTAAACTCCAAATTGAGTGAAGTCAAATTCATGAATAATTGATATTGATTGGTTGGAGTGATATTAAAAGCTTTGATTGTGAAAGTTTTTCATTAACCATGTACTTTATGCACCAGATCACTCTCCGTAACTTTCAAAATATACTGAACTCCGCTGAATTATTGAAAAACTCACGAATAATGTTAGTATATGCACGTGCAAAGTAAAACGTCTTAAAATGTGTAACTTGTTACAATTGTATGGTGAAGGTAGGGGTGTCCAAAAAGTCCGTTGGCCCGGGCCCGGCCCGGCCTAGGCCCGATCGTCGGCGCCCAACCCGAGCCCGGCTCGGTCTGGAACAATGTTTTTTTATTTTTTTATATGTATAATATATGTATATATATAATATATGTATATATATAATATATGTATATATATATATATATATATTATATATAATATATATAGTATAGTATATATGATTAATAAGAAAAAAAAATGAAAAAAAGAAACAATAATAAAATACCAAATATATACTATATATACCTGCTCTCATTAGTATATAATTATATAATAAGTATAACTCTCTGTTTATATAGAGGTAATATATGTATAAGTATACTCTCTGTAATATATGTAATACAGATATATAGAGTATACAGTGTATACTCTCTCTTATATAGTATAATATATATATATGTGTATAATATAGTATATATATGTATATATTATATAATATATATATATTATATATATATATATATATATAGTATATAGTGATATAATAATATTATATATATTATATATATATATATATAGTATTCTCTGCTCTCTAGTATATATACTCTATTATAATATTATATTATTGTATATGTGTATCTCTCTCTTATATATCATGTTATATATTATGTGTGTGTGTGTGTGTGTATACTTATACGTGTATATATAAGTTTATATATGTGTGTGTGTGTGTGTGTGTGTGTGTTTTTTATTTATAATACAATTTGTTTATGTAATTACTATAAGTATTAACAATTTGTTTATGTATTATATATGTATATGTGTGTTAGTGTGTGTGTGTATATATATACATATACATATATTGAATGACATGAATACTTTGGGCTACTTAGTATATAAGTATATATAAATATAAGTATATTCTCTCTTATATATGTTTATATCTCTTATATAATTATATATATGTATAAGTATGCTCTCTCTTATATATGTGTACAGTGTATACTCTCTCTTATATATATATTTATATTCTCTCTCTCTTAGTATATAAGTATACTTATATATACACATATATAAACATAAACTTATATGTACATATATAAGTATATTTATATAATAGTATAAATACATATAAGAGTATAAATATATATTTATATATCTATACATATATATAAACATAAACTTATATGTACATATAATATAATTATATTTATATAAGAGTATAAATATATATATACTATTATATAAATATAATTTTTATGTTTTATTGTTTTTTAAAATTTTTAAAAAAATAAAAAAAATAAAAAAACAAAAAAATCCGGGCCGGCCCGGGGGTGAACCCATTGTCGTTTGACCCTTCATCCACTCGTATCAATTTTAACGGTTTCTAATGAATATAACTTTTTTCATGGCTCGACGGAGGGTAAAATCACGATGGGTTCACCCTAAATTTGGTGTGTTGGGGTTTTAGAATATGTAGATCAAGTTCAACGGAGCGGATCATCCACAATGTTGCTCAATCATGTGATTTTAGAGGCGTCAAGGAGGAAATCCCCTCCTATGACAAGGATACCCATTAATATATATCTCTCTCTCTCTCTCTCTCTATATATATATATATATATATATATATATATATATATATGAGATTAATGCGTATCCTTGTCATGGGAGGGGATTTCCTCCTATGACGCCTCTAAAATCACATGATTGAGCGACATTGTGGATGATCCGCTCCGTTGAACTTGATCTACATATTCTAAAACCCCAACACACCAAGTTTGGGGGTGAATCCGTCGTTGTTTGACCCTCCATCGAGCCATGTGAAAAGTTCTATTCATTCAAAACCGTTAAAATTGATACGAGTGGATGAAGGGTCAAACGACGACGGGTTCACCCCAAACTTGGTGTGTTGGGGTTTTAGAATATGTAGATCAAGTTTAACGGAGCGGATCATCCACAATGTCGCTCAATCATGTGTTTTTAGAGGCGTCAAGGAGGAAATCTCCTCCTATGACAAGGATACCCATTAATCTATCTATCTATCTCTCTCTCTCTCTCTCTCTCTCTCTCTCTCTATATATATATATATATATATATATATATAATTGATATTTTTTATATATATGTTTATGTATAATACAATTTGTTTATGTAATTTCTATAAGTACTTACAATTTGTTTATGTATAATATATGAATGACATGATTATTAATAAAAAATTTATTTTTATCATCTTTTATTTTTATAAATTTTATACTTGTAATTTATGTCATTTCAATTAATTAAAAAAAGTTATGTCATTTTTTATAATTTTTATGTATATTTTATGCTTTATTGTTTTTTAAATTTTTAAAAAAAAAACCGGTCGGGCCCGGAGCCCGGCCCGGGGTACCCGGGTCCGGGTCCACGCTCCGGTTTTGCCCGGCCCAGGCCCGGATTTCCAGCCGGGCCAGCCCGGATGGACAGGTCTAGGTGAAGGCACATTGCATTTGCTTTTGCTTATATAAGACTAAATTTAAGGGGGTGTTTGGTTTGGTGTAATTAAAACTTCATGTTGTTCCAACTACATCGAAAGTTTATAAGTCTTGTTTAAATTAGATGTTAATGCAACACCAAAAGGTTATCGCAACAATAAAATAAGTCAAATTTGAGGATGTTAGAACAACACTCAAATTCAACACCATGCATGAATTGGAACAACATGGTATTGTAAATGTTTATTGTTCCAACTCTTTTAACCCTAACTCACCGTCTCACCCTATAGTGATATTGATCACTGTGACTTATCTTCTTTTATTACTTACAATCCATGATATACCATCCTTGTCCAAGTATGTAATTAAGTACGTGTTTCCTTTTTTTGATAAGTATATATTTCCTTTGATAACCTCGATAATGCAAACATGACTCCATTACAGTCACAACCAATTGTGAACATGTTCTCTTCGGAGATTCCAAAGGGAAGCTCGAGAATGTAATTGGCAGTTAGAGCTAGTTTAAAACTATATATAATATGTTCTTTAAATTGCTTTCTAATTTCCTCCATTTCTTTTTGAAAGAAGGATGCTCTAATAAGTTGAGTCCATTATTGATCAAAAGGATCTATATCTTTAACAAAAAAACATGAGTTTATTTACTCTAAAGTAAGAGACACTCATGCCATGTTTTAGTTGTGAATGAGAATTTTTAAGAATATGATTAGGATAATCCCTACTTTAAACCACCACAAGAGAGTACTGTTTAGTGGAAAAATTGAGAGAAGAAAATGGATAATTGAATTTGTATTATTCTCTCTAACAGACTTAGAAAAGAATGAATTATAATTCTCTCAATGTAAATCTCTTTCTAACTGGCTTAGAAAAAAAAAATTACAATCTTCTCTATCGGTTTCCCGAGTTACAAAAGAGAGAAGGGATCGACAGAGACCATTCCCTT